ATGCGTTTTCCAAAAAATAAAATGAAAATAAATAATTAAAAATCAACAAAATCAGTTATAACGTATTTTAAGACTTTTACATGTTTTTTACTGTATGTAGTGTTTTTGTGGGCTATTTATTGAGAAAACAACATTGAAGTTATTATTTTTGAATGTCTTGTAAAATTTCCTTTACTTGAGTTTTACTTTTATTATTCTAAGTTAAGAGAAAAAAAAGTTATGAGACATAGATCAGTTATTTCTATTAAATTTGACTTTTCGACTCAACTTAATAGGCCCGGGGGCACGGGTTAACCTTAACGGATCGGTCCCAAATTTTGCACAGCTCACTTTTTTGACCATTAAAAAAAAATTAAGGGGTAGCGTAAAGAAAAAAAAGACATTCGATTTTTGAGGGCCACCCTAATGTACAAATTACAATATCATAGTGTATCTAATATTATAATTGTTAACATAATGTTACATAATTGAAATCAATTCCTTACATATAAGTAGTTTAGATTCGATGAATATAATTAGAGCTAAAATACGATCATGGCCTTTTTTTGAGAATTTATGTGAAATAATTATAATTCTTGCCGAAACATTTTAACAAATGCCATTTTGAATTTTTTTATTTATTTATTAAAAATATTATAAACGTGTGCAAACAAATATATACAACATTCTGAAATTGTTTAAATTTTCAATAAAATTCTAATACCACGAGAGAACTAATCGGTCGTAATCGGTTTTAAAAGGCACGACATTTACTTGGAGGGAGTCCATCAAGTCGACACAACATGTCCTGGCGCCAGTTCTCAAAGGAGTTTCTTTTGGCGTTCTATAATAACAGCACCCAAGCAGAGATAGAGAACGATGGCTAAGCAACATCGGCGAATGACTGAGTTCATTATAAATAAACAACGGCTAGTGATGCGCACTCGCCCCAATTGTTTAGAGTAGTACATAGAACGGGTTAGTCAATGTTTTGCGCTACGAATATTACGGCAACGGAAACATGTGATGGCCGCGTTCATTAGACAACCTGCACGTAATCGCAAACGATCTCGACAGGCCCTTACGCACTGTTAGACTAAAAGCCAACATAAATCCGTACGTGCCACCTTCTGCGCCACAGGCCATCCGACATCGGGCGGGCGTGCCTAACGCAGAACGTTGTACCGACCCTGTCGATTGTACTCCCACCGTGGAACTGGAGTTTAACAACGGGTTTGTGACGGCTTTAGAGAGTTTATACTATGGGTGTGTTTTTAATAACATAGGGACGCACAAAGCTTATCGAACTCGATATCGTTGTAAAAGACCCCACTCCCATCGCGTTAAAACCATACCCATACTCTCTGCAAAAACAAGAGACGATAGACAAAATGGAAGGCGAANTACAAGAGACGATGGACAAAATGGAAGGCGAATATGGATAAACAGGGACTTATAGAACCATGTTCCAGAAGTACGACATAATACAGAACCCGTAATGTGACGTACTACTGATCTTAGAATAAAGTTTCTAAGATTAGACGGACGTGATATTAATTGTAAGATTTTGGCTGTCAACCGCGTGTGTGGGTCCTTTGTGCGCAAATCCTTAAGAATGGGCTATTGCCGGCACTGTTACGCTTGTAAATCATGTAATGCCGTCACAAAACCGTTGTTATTTTTATGGCACAAGTTGTATTTTATGTGGGAATATTAATGAAATGTAACGGTAAATTAAAAAAATGATAAAATATAACAATTATAATTATTACTATATAATTATATTCAGTGCTCGAATTGGGGGGGTGCGTATGGGGACGTAGCTCCTCTACTTTTTTTTAAATTTTTTTGCGCACCCCAACTACTTTTTTTTATGAGGACAGTGGAAAATACTACCTTTTTTTTTTAAATATTAGTATGATAATGAAATATAATTTATTAATAAATACTAAATAAAGTAATGAGTAAAAAAAAAAAAAAAAGGTCTTCAAAATGCTAGGGACGCAGTTTTCAAATTGTTAAGTTGAGCTCCCCTACTTATTTTTGGCCAATTCGAGCACTGATTATATTCAAATATGATAATTAAAAATTAAACCATTGCAGATTAATAATATCCAACGAAAGTATACCAATGAAAATAACCAAATGCGATCGACTCAACAGACTTTTCATTTGAAAATAAAGCAGTAAAAAATAATCAGTATGAATATTTTTATAAACATTTTTCAAAGTCAAAATTAGCGTTGAAATCGTCATAGTGATACATATGATCGAGCGGTTGATTGCGGTGGTTTGTGCTGCGCGGTATAACTGCCCTAATGTGACTGCACCCTAACGATAATTTCGGTTCTGGTTACGTTATCAATCAGCCAGCCACCAATTACTCACGTACATATCACCAAAGATTTTTTTAAGGCTACACACACAAAAAAAAAATATCTTAGAAAATTAATACCTTCTCAACTTCGCATCGTAGTTAAAATAATATCAAGAGATATGAAATTAGATACAAGAAAAATAAAATTTGAAAAACATTTTAATTATAAATTATATTGTTAGTTAAATATTAAATTAATGACAGTAATTTTTTTATATTTTATTAAATAAGATTTACCTGCAATAATCTATGAATAGTTACTGTAACTTTTGACATATTTATAAATGTCAACTAAATTTGATTAACACAAATATCATTTGAAATGCTTACAATTAAAATAAATTTTTGTTTGCCATATTTTAAATTATTCAAAATTGACTGAATTGTTCTATAGAAACGAAATTAATTTAGTAAAAAAACTATATGTCTGGTTTACTTGATATTATTGAAATTATATTGCCATTACTGTTGTTATTATAATCATTATTAAAAATGCGTTTCTATTTTTCTTTTGGAATTTTATTTTGTTTTATTCTTTTAGTTACCATACCAAAGTTTTCTCTCGGAATGCCCTGCTCAGACGAGGAAACTAATATCACTGATGTAAAATAAGTATTAATAATTATTATTAATTTACACAATTATTATTTTTTTATTTTATTTTAATGATAAATTATATAGTTATTTAAATATTAAATTAATGTGTTTTTTTTTTAACAATTGGAATGTTTAAAATAAAATTAAAGTGAATAAAATTTATATAAAAAACGTATAGCATATTTTTAAATGTCAGTTAAATTTGATTATTACATATATTATTTGAAATGCTAATAATTTTTTTTTCCTTTATTAATATATACACAATCTGTTCCCTATAGGTACAATAAGAGTATTAGCTAAAATAATTATAACATTGAATACTTGATAAATGAAACCGCCCATTGATGACACTTTTAAGTGATTGTTTTTTATTTTTTAACAAAAGTTATGTTAATAATCTTTTATAATAAGTTATTGCTACTTCTTTAACAGTTTTAATTTTTAAATCAGAATGGAGGGTATAATTTGATACGTATGGAGAGGAGTTAGTTAATTTTCTTAAAGAAATATTTTTAAATGCCTGAATACGATTTATATTACATTTTTTAGCATTTCCCCATAGTTGTAGACCATAAGTCCAAATGGGTTTAATAAGGGATTTATACACTAGAAGTTTCATATTTAAGTTAGTATGTTTGTTATTAATTAGTAAAGTTCTAAGCATACGGATTCTAAGGTTTAGTTGGAGTCTTTTTGCACGAGTATGATGGGCCCAGGAAAGTAGGGTTAAACCAAGATATTTTACAGACGAAGAAGATGGAATTTGAATACCATAAAGGGTAACACATGGGCACTGTCCAAGCTTAAGAGTAAAAGTTGTGTGAATTGATTTTGCTTAATTGACCTTAAACCTCTAATTCTTATAACATGCTAATAATTTTAATATATTTTTGTTTATCATATTTTATATTATTCAAAATTGACTGAGTTGTTCAATTAAACGAAATCAATTTAAAAATAAAAACTATATATCACGTTTACTTGATATTATAGAAATTATATTGCTAGTACCGGACTTTCATTACTATTGCTATTATAATCATCATTAAATGCGTTTATATTTTTGTTTTGGAATTTTACTTTGTTTTATTTGTTTAATTACCATACCAAAAGTTTTCATTCGGAGTGTCATGCTCAGATAAAGAAACTTCTAATAATGAAACTAATTAATTTATAATTATTATTATTTTAAACAATAATTAATTTTTTAATTTCTAAAATATTTTACAACTTATGAACGTAATTTTAATAACTAATAAAATTTATGTTTTGTATAACAAGTACTTATAGTTATTATTAGTATGATTTGTAGAGTGATCCTATATCCAGTGAAGTCAATGATAATGAGCCAATACAAGTATTTATAGTCATTATTAATATTTTATATACTTATTATTATAGTTTAATGGCTTGGGTATATTTTTTATACAAATAACAAACAATGATAATCTGGTTATAAAATTACCCAGCACAGTAAGGATGTGGTATACTTGAGTCCAGTATAGATGATATCTGATAGTGATTAAAATCACTATCATAAAAATTGCTTTCACGAAAATCTGTAGATAATGATTAATTTAAAAAAAAAACCCAGCACAGGGGGGTCGCGGCACAGTGGTGACGTGGTATAGATGGATTAAGTATAATGATATCTGACAGTGATTAAAATCACTATAAAAAAAAAACGCTTCGATGCAAATCTTTTGATAGTGTTTAATTTTAAAAAATTGGTAGACTATTCCAAAAGCTACATGATCTGCTAGTTCATTATTAATATCCTAATTAAGATAAAGTATGTAGAATGAAAAAGGGATTATTAAAAAATATTATTTCTCATAAAAAAATAATGTTGATCCATACACTTTTCAATATGTCATAGCATTATAAAGTTAAAAATGTAAAAAATAAAATCGAGAATTTTCACACAATAATAGCATTCGGTAGCCATTTTCACCGTAAAGATAAAATAAAGTCCGAAATTTCTTTTTTGCATAATAAAGAATATTACATTAGCTTTAATTTAAGATATATATAAAAGTGTCAGACCTTCCGGAACATTTTCAAAAGTTAAGTTGAAAAAGTTAATTTTTTTTGAAAAAGTTGTCATTTTAAATCCCCCCTTGTGGGCAGATTAAAGGTTAAATTTATGAAAAAAATATACCAAACGAAAGGTAATGATATTACACATCTATATAAAAAAGAATTATATTGATATGTTCATTTTTGAAAAAGTTATGGCACTTTTAAGTAAAAAAAATTGAAAAAATTTCGAAAATTAGCGATTTTTAAATTTGTAATTTTTTTGGAGGTTTCCCCCATTTACGGGAAACGAGGGATTTTTTTTCAATTTTTGAGGGTAATGTCTTTGACTAGATACGATTTGTGATCTTTTGACTTATCATTAAAAGAAATCGAAGAAATGAAGTTCGGAAATTTTTTTTCATATTAAAAGTATAGTATATTAACTTTAATTTAATAAATATATTTCATTATTTCTGGAACATTTACGAAAATTAAATTTAAAAACATCTTTCTTCTATATGAATTTTTAAGTTTTTAAATCTTCTGTATAAAGGCCCGATTTAAAAAAAAAGTATGTTGAATGAAAGAGATGTATTAATTTCTTAAAATATTGAATTGATCCATACATTTTTCAAAAAGTTATAGAAATATAAAGTTAAAAATGTAAAATATAAAATCGAGAATTTTAAAAACAAAAATAGAATTTGGTAGTCGTTTTCACCGTGAAGACAAAATAAAGTCCGAAAATTTTATTTTTCCATAATAACGTGTCAGTATTTTAGGAACACTTTCAAAGGGTCAAAAAATTAAGTCATTCAACTTAATGACTTAATTTTTTGTGAACAAATTTTTGAGTGTAATGTCTTTAATTTAACTAGTTTATTTAGTATAGTAATTATGTTAAAAAATGGTTTTTGATAAACTTTATTTTCATATACTTCTCGATTTTATTATAATTAAATATTTGTTTAATTTATTCCTTATAGGTTATAATGGTTGTAACTTTTTGTTTTTTTGTAATTTTTAAAATTGTTTGCAACTTATAAAAGTAATTGTAATAACAAATAATATAACTGTTTTGTAGAGTGATCCTATATCTAGTGAAGTCAATAACAATGAGTCAAAACAAGTATTTATAATTATTATTAATATTTTATATACTTAATATTATCATATAAAAGCTTGGGTACATTTTTTATACATATAACATAATAATTATGTTAAAAAATGATTTTGTTAAATATTATTTTCATTTACTTTTCTATTTTATTAATTAGTAATATTTTTTAAATTTATTCCTTATACATTATTAGAGTTGTAACTTTTTGTTTTTGTTAAAATCGTGAATGGACTGTTATCACTAAATATCATAATGAGAGTGTGATTATACTCTACCTTATGGAATATTTATCAAGTGTCGTTATAACCTAACTCGATGAGTAGCCAGAAAGGACCGCACGTCCAATAACGACCCGCCTCAAATGTACGTGGGAGTCATCTTTATGACTCCGCCCGATACGAATCGAACCGCCCGCACCGACACAATGTCAACGTATCTTTTTGTTCTTTTTTTACTGTGTTATTCTATATTCACTGCTGTACAATATTATTTGGAATTATGGACTTATCCAGGGCTTATTGGGAATAAACGGCTCTACGCTGATTTTTAATAATAGTGCCATTACGTTGTTCAACACTCCTCTATCAATGCATAAGAAGTTCCAGTTTTTTTTTTTATACAATTATTTCTAGAAGTCCAAAATATGCGGTAAAACTGTCATAGTGTCACATGTGCAACTTTGAGCGGTCGAACCGCGGTGCAATTGTTATAGTGTGACAGTATTTTAATGTATTTTACAAATTAAAAATGACTTTTACTGTATATATCTAAAATTAACTTTTGAATTTTAACTTTATAAATATTTATTAATTTACTTTATTAAAAGTCATAAACTAATTTATAAATTAGCACTGGTATTTTTTTAGGACGAGTATCCCATATCAACTTATTTTTCGAACCTCATATTAGATCATATATGAGAAATTGTTCGTGGTAACTATTTATGAATTTTATAATTATGTAGAGAATTCCAAGAAATATAATGAAGATTTACGAAAAGTATTGCTTAGGTTAATAAAGGATATAATTATTGCAGGTATTTGAGATTTATTTTTTTAACTTACATATACAGAATGATTTTTTTATCATAACCCAATTAATTACTCATACAATAAAAATAATATTAACATTTTATTTACTTTTTGGTCATCTTTAGCTACATATTATTTTTGAAGCTATGTAATACATTTTAAGTTCATCCCTTATGCTTTGTATGGGTGTGATTTTTGTTTTTTCAAATGGGAATACATATTTTGAATCTAATAAAATGTTTGACATTTTATTATAATAGTAAACAATATTAAAACTATTTTTGCTACTATTTATTTATTAATAAAACTTTTTCATTATAAAACATAATTAAAAAAAAAACTATTTACTCAGCTATTAAGTAATCGACTCGTGATTGGTAATATAATCCCTTTACTATAAATAATTTAAAATTTACTATAAACATAAAAATTTTCCATTTTAAATATTTTAATGTTTAATAGTAAATTTGAATGTACATTAAAAAAAGAAAATATTAAGAATTCTTGTAATATAGAGAGAAAATAAAGCAAAATAATAACTTAACGTTGTGTCATATAGTTTTATTGGGATATTATTAATGGATATGTTGTACAGTTTGGCGAGGTTGTGGCAAATTTTGCATTGTAATTATAAAATAGAGGACACTAGACTATTAAAAGAAAGTATTTGTTCAAAAGTTACGTGTGTAGCCCGGTCAAGCTCTACGTAGCTTAAAATCGCTCGATACCCTTTTCATCGCAATCATTACAGTCGTGTCCGACACTACCGGCACTTAGTTGTCATTACGTTTGTATACGCGGTTGAAGTAATACCGTACCATTGGGTCTAATGACTCGTGGCCAGTGATCTGGCACAGTTTCCCTTTTTGTTGGGTTTGTGTCGGTCTGTATAGGCCAAGTCCAACGTACGTTTTATTAAATACTCAATCCACATTTGGAGTTGGTTTTCTTAGCGTTCACACACCGGTGGTGATTTTCTGTTGTTCGGTCAGTTAGTGCGTTTGTCTCTTTAAAATAATCGTGACACGCATGAATGTTAACGTTGGCCAAGAAGTATTTGTTTATATGTTTAGTTAATTAATTTAACGTTTATGTAAAGTAAATAAAATAGTCACTCTGGGAACTAGGATTTCATTATAATATTTTTAAAGGTATTATTTTCATACATTTTCTAAATGAGTCGTTCAGTTATAATGTATTATATTCTATAAATGTGCAAATTATTTTTTTTTGTCGTCAATTAGCTAATAATTAGAAAACTAATTCAGTTTCAAGTCCTACTTTAACGGAATGACAAAAATATTAGATTATAATTTTTTTGACTTTATGATGGTGAAAATAATGTTTCTATATGCTCCATTTTTATTCTGTAATTTAATATTCTAAATTAATTGAAATTTTTTGGTATTTTATTAGAGGATAAAACGACGAAAATAAATGGATATATTAGTTATATATACGTCAAGATATACAATAAAACATAGCAGATTAAAAGAAAAAATTAAATAAGGATGATATAAACAACGATGACACCGTCACAAAAGACTATGCAAAAGAAATAATTATGGAAAATCCATTCTTTGATTTTTCTAAATCTATTAAATTATGTGACTTTGTAATAAAAAAAAATTTAGTTGGAGAAAATCAAGTCCTTTACAATCGTAATTATCATAACTTTTTTTAAAATGTATAAAAATATTTAAAATATTTATTAACAATTAAAATTAAAATTAAGTGTATTTTTCCTATACTAATTGTTTATTATTTTAAAAAAATTAAAAAAAAGACTATTTGCAGAAAATCTATAATTTGTAATTAAAATTATTTTGATATTTAAAAATTAAGGTTTTTATGAAATATAATAGTCATTTATACGATGCTATTTTAAAAATAATGTACAATAAGTAACATAATATTAGTTTGAATTTTTACACTATTCGATTATGTAAGAAATTTTCAAATATACTACTCAAATTTTTATTTTGTTTGTAATTGAATTTTATATGTTGACTCTGGTTTTCATTAATTGAAGTCTATGATATAAAATTATATGCAATTAAATAGATTGAATTTTTTAAAAATAATGTTAACATTATTTTAAAAAATTGTTATTACTTTATTAGTATTAACCTTAGAGGTAAATATATTTGCATGCTTAAAAGCATACACGGATGATCTGGGTAAGGTGGCTGGCCAAGTATCAGTTTATGACTCTTAAATTACTTCTAAATAAGTTATATTAAAAATCAAACAACTGAATAAAAATTTAGCATGGGATTATGGACAATTATTATTTTTTGGGTTGCAATTAATCTTAATAACATATTTTTTTTTATCAAACATTTTATAATTAATCAATAATAATTATTGAATGTTGTCAATTATTGCTAACATTTATGTTGGATAAATTGATTGCTCCTTAGTTACACTTCAAACCATTGTTTTTAGAGCTATTATTCTTTATTGTAGCGTACGTATAATTAGGATGTATTTTTGAAGGGATTTTTTACTCAAAATGTCAACTTATCCCTTTAGTCAGGAAAACTTGATGAATTTGGTATTTTTTAAGTAAAAAATGAATTTAGTAATAAATATGTTTTCAATGCGGTACTTTATATATGTATGTTACAATCTAAAAATATTAAAAATATTTTTCTAACCTTTAAAGAATTCTAATGGGAATGTGTAAAACTTATTTTCCTCAACTTACCCAGATAACTTCTATATTTTTTGGGGGGAATATCAACTATTTATATAATGAAAATAAATTTACAATTTTATTTTGTTTTAGAGCTGCTTAGAAACTTTGTCGCGAATATTGAAGACTATGAAGACAATGAAGACGATGAATACATTGAATACATTGATATTATGAAGACGATGAATACATTGAATACATTGAATATTATGAAGACGATAAAGATGATTAGAATGATACATAAATACTTGAAGTAGCTTTTACTCATAGTTTATAAAATTTCATTAAAGCTTTTTGTTTCATAATATATATATATATATATATATACATAAATGTTTAAATTATTATAAATAAAGTGATGTTTAATTTATAATATTCAGATAAAATATGTATCATAAATATTATGATTTATTATCAAATTTTTATTTTTTTACAAGACAGGCGATATAAAGTTGTCAATTCTATACTTAATAAAGCTAAAGTCAATGAATTACAATTCAATGTTTCAAAAATCAGAAAAATTAAAATTTTGAGTTGATACAATTTTTTTGTAACTTTTTTTTAGGTTTACTTTTAATACTTCAATTTTTTATCAGTTTAAAGAACACTATTAATAATAGATATAAAAAAAAATTGTCATGCGCAAGTGGTCTTGTTCAATCACTTCTTGTTCTCAAGTTTTATTGGTTTTTCATGAATCAAAATTTTAGCATATCAAAATAAATTTTGTTTTATCTCATATCTTTTGTTACAAATTCATACAATATGTACTATATATTGCATTCCAAAGTTGCAATCAACTATCGATACGGATTAGCTTTAAACTTTGAAATGTATTTTAAAATTCATAATATTGAGGGGAATTTTTGTGGTCCTGTAAGGATTCTGTTGTAATATGCGTAATGCTTTGCATTACGCACTTACATTTATCAATGAAACATTTATAATCTGTATTTTATATTACTTGATACAAACAAATAATTAATTTATCTGTCATAACACAAACACTATTGTACACTATTTATTTTATATGTATATACTTGTTACTCGGACCGCACAACCCCGATAGAACTCATACATTCTATAACCATAACCATTTTTTATAAATATTTTATTTTGTTATTTTAAATTATAACAATCCACTACATTAAAATCGGGTTCTTTAGACGTATAAATCATTAAACTCAGCCTAATAAGAGCTGAGTGTTCATATGGACAGGCAAAATAAAAACAACGCATCATAGTTAAGTCAATATCTTCACAGCTTCGCATCAAAGCTAAAACTCATTCAACTTAAATGTGTATTAAGCCATATGCGTGCATTTAGTTTAAATCCTTGGGTTGTTTACAATTTTTTTTATGACCGTAATTGAGCTTTTTACTCAGAAATAATCGTAGAATTATTAAAATAAAGAATTAGGCTTGTTAATTTAAAATGAGCTATTTTGAACTGCCTAAATGTACGCCTATAGTTTTGTTAATGGACTCTTTAATTATAATAGAACGGATTTTGTTTATATTTTCGCTCTGCCCTGAAATGAATAAAATCATTCATAATCATCACTAGAAAAAATATGTATCCTGTTTATTAAAATAGGTGGTCCAGTTACTGAACACCTCCCAAAATATGAACACTTGAATTAATTTATAACATTACACATGAAACAACAATACTACATTGCTTTATTAAAAAAATTATAAATGTGAGTTAAACAAACCTATGTGTTAAATTTAATTAAAATGAGAAATTTTTTACTGTTTCGTTAATATATTCTAAAATATTTCCCAAAAAAGTTAAAATTATTATAGAGGGTTATTTTTTTTATCATAAACCACTCAATCACTAATAAAATAAAAATATTTTTTATTGGATACCTTTAGTTACATGTTATTCTTGAATTATTAGTTATGTAGTACTTTTTTAGTTCATCTCTTATAACTTGTAAGAATGTCAACTTCGTTTCTNTGTTATGTATTTTAGTAATACATATTTTAAAAATGAGTACAAGTTAAGTTATTTCAATAAAAAACTTTATTTTAATAATAATCATGAGAGCTTCTGCTTATTACAACATTAATACATCTTAATAATAAAGAGGACCTAGACGCTGGCTGCCCAACAGTGCAGCCACCAATACACAACAGTAGTACTTTTTTAGTTCATCTCTTATAACTTGTAAGAATGTCAACTTCGTTTCTTTTAATAGGAATACATATTAAAGTATTTGAAGAAGAAAAAAAATAAATTATAACAAAATGTATGTTACAAAAAAAGTGAACAGTATTTTCTTTGTTACTAAACGTTTGTTGATTGTACGAAATTTGATATGCAAAAGTAATAAAAACAATAATTGAATTAAATTAAAAAACCATGTCTATATAGAGACAATAATCTTAAATAATAATTACAAATACTATAAAACACTTGTGAAGGAACAATACAGTATAATAGTTTGATGATAGCAACATTTAATGAACTAGATACCAATTCTATTATTGGACTATTATAATACTATAATTTACTACATTACCACAGCCATACTGAGTAGCTGATTTTATGCACGTGACGTACCTTTGGGGTCCGTAATTATACAAAAAATGATTAATAAGGGCGACCATACAAGGACACCACTATTAGATAAGACTCAACAAACGATGACTTAATCAACTTGACCTAGTGCATGAACGCGTTTCAATAAAGAAACTTACAGAGGCACTTTCTTAAAATATCATTAATTGCATACATCCATGCGAGTATAAAAAAATTCAAAAACTAAAGTGCGTATTAAAATAACCTTGAAAAGTGACAGAAATAAATGTATTCTTATACATCCAATAACTATAATAAGTTCAAATCATTCCTTATAAGAAACATATTTTAGGGCTTTTTATGCCTACTAAATAATATCGTTGTACATTAGTCAATATCTATTTTTAATTTATTGCATTTATTTTATAAAATTCATAAAAATTACAAAAAACAAAAGAGATAAATTTCCACCTTGGATTACCACAAGTATTAATGAAAAACGAAAGGCTATTGGAATTAGCATTTGTTTTTTCCTACCTGTCGAAAATGACCTAATCAAAGATAGCTATTTTTGATTAACTAGTTAATAATCATGTATACCAAAATTGTTTTAGCTTCGATGCGAAGCTGAGAAGGTATTGGTTTTACTATGATGTGTTTTTTTTTTTTTTTTTTTTTTTTTTGTTTT